GTTCGGATTGGTCCTCTTGGTCAGCAACTGAGGGTTTCTCCGAGACTTCACGTCACGTCCTCCGGAGTTTTGTATTCACCCGGTGAGGTAGTGCTAAACGCACTTAGTTTTTTTTGTAGTTTGACTTTTTTTTCTCCAAATTGTTCAGTGGTCCGATATGTCGGCACGGGAATGGGAAAAAAAATTAGTCCGCTAAGTGGGGTTTAGTATAAATAGATTTTTTTTTTGTAGTTTTTTTTCCGCCGAATATTTTTTTTTGTTTGTTTTTTTTTGCGATTTGTTATTTTTCTGGAAACAAAAAAATAATATACATTTTTCTTTCGGACCCCAGCTCACTCCATAGGTCTGCGCTGGCGCTCCTGAGCGCCTTCGTATTGCGATGGAGTGGGCTGGGACTCCAACCACGACTGACTATCGGGGTCTCAGTCACCCCACCAGTCTCAGGGGGGCAAGCGATGACTGCCCCTTGCTGCATTGCGGTGGGGTGCACTGAGACCGAAAGATAGTTCAGCAACTTGTACGCGAAGTCCAGTACACCCTTCAAGTCTGGAGGGGCATTCCATAATGCCGGCTTTTCATTGCGGTTGGGTGTGCTGGACCAAACAGCGAATTTTGTTTGTTTGTTTTTGTACATTTTTTTTGTAGACTAGTGCCTTCCTAACGTTAGGGGGGGTCAGCATTCCCATTGACCTTTGAAAATACATATTTCCCAAAGTATGCGTACCATAACAATATACATATATATATATATATATTTTTTTTTATATGAGTTGAAGTCGGTTTTTTTTTTACTAAAAATTACTTGTTTAGTTTTGTGTTCAATAATTTTTTCTGCTAATTTTCTCTTCTCAATTATGCGCTCTATTTTGCTTTTACGCTCTCGCTGCAATCTTTTACTGGTAATGTTAGGTGCAATCCCGTATTCCTCCGACTCGGACTAGTAAAACTGTCAAAAAATAAAAATTCGCTCAGAGCGAGAGAGTAACATTGAAAAGTACGGGATCGCTTTCTAGTAAAAATGGTAACTTCTGTCAACTTCCAACATAACATCCAAATTTTGGTTGTAAATGTTTGCTTATTTTGTATGTAAACACACTCAGCTCACACATGTAAATAACCAAAAGTACTTTCAAATTCATTAGAATCCACTTAAACAAGTAATTAAATACTTTTCAACATGAATTAGCAGAGTGCACTTTTCTTTTGTTTACAATTTGGTTGCCACGTTTGACACATTTGCCAGAATTTACCAGCAAAAAATTCTCGGACTAAAACTGGTAACCTCTAACAGAGAGAGAACCGTATTTACTCTCTTTTTTGTCCTCTCAATAGTCAGAGAACCGAGTACGGGATCGATTTCCAGTAAAATCTGACTGATTCTGACTAGTCCGGTCTCGTACGGGATCGCAACTGTTACTTTACACCTTTTTTTAAAGATCAGATTCCTACACTACAGTGGCTATCAAAACGTATTAGGCTGTGTGCCAATCGGTTACTTTTCTCAAGTAAATTGAACTTTTAACATATTGGTGATTCGTATCATGCATCAAAAGGTATGATATCGATCCGAAAGTTGTCGCTAAGTGGTAACAGAATCTCTCCCCTGAATTTTAAATGGAATATATGTACATATGTATATGTATATCAANTTTTTAAAGATCAGATTCCTACACTACAGTGGCTATCAAAACGTATTAGGCTGTGTGCCAATCGGTTACTTTTCTCAAGTAAATTGAACTTTTAACATATTGGTGAATCGTATCATGCATCAAAAAGTATGATATCGATCCGAAAGTTGTCGCTAAGTGGTAACAGAATCTCTCCCCTGAATTTTAAATGGAATATATGTACATATGTATATATATTTCATAATTTACTAAAATAATCAGAAAATGGAAACACATACATATTAGACAAAATACGGCAAACGCTAAGTCTGCGCATCGCAAGTACTTTCACCGTGATGCGCAGACCATCTCATCGTATATTTCGCCGTTTTAAGTCTGCTCAGGCGATCTTACATACCGTCCGTGTAAAATCGAAATTTTTTTATTTTGGTCGCCGATGCGTAGACCCTACCCCATTCAGCGTATACGACTGACGGTATCACGTAGTCTTCTTTCGTCTGGTTTTCGATCCATGAGNTCGCCGTTTTAAGTCTGCTCAGGCGATCTTACATACCGTCCGTGTAAAATAGAAATTTTTTTATTTTGGTCGCCGATGCGTAGACTCTACCCCATTCAGCGTATACGACTGACGGTATCACGTAGTCTTCTTTCGTCTGGTTTTCGATCCATGAACGGATGTTACGATACGCATACGGTATCGGTATGCATATTCCGATGAAAGTACTCGTGATACACGATGCAGGTCCGCCATTCGCGGACCGCTAACCCTCTCTTTGTCGCTTTGACATCATCCACCTATTCGCTAACGTCATACTATATTTTTTTTTTAATTCACAGTACGGGAATGATTTCTGGACTGTTTTGGGAACCCGCGAAATCCCGCGTTGCGCACGGGACGGAACCTAATATTTGATATGTGGCAGCACCCTTTTGCTTTGCTTTTGTCCTTGGTAAACAGCTGATATGTTGATTGTTTCTTTCGCTATCGCGTCATTTTGTTGAATTCATGTTTTTATTTTGATTTCATTGTGCTAAATGCTTTTTTCTGCCTTTGTTTAAAATCGAAACGCAAGTTGAAACAATAATATAAATAAATACAAGTGAGTCATTTCCCCACATATTATCAGTAGAGTCTGTGAGTTTATTTAAATAACAACGCAAAGAAATAGCTTTAGATCAATCTTCAACGTTGGAACTAACTACACAAATAAATAAAAAATGTCGCTCGTTTCGGATCAAGAATGGGAGGAGTACAAGGTAGTTATGCTAAGAGACCAGTGGTTAATTTTAGCTAAATAAATTTTTTAGTCCAAGTTTAATAAAGTTTACACTGATGCTCAAGAGGATAATATGCGTCGTGAGCGCTTTGTAAAATCCAAGCAGACAGTGGAGGAGCACAATAAGAAATATGAGAATGGCGAGGTTACTTGGAAGATGGCTATAAATCATTTGTCTGATTTAACTGAAGAAGAGTATGCTAAGCGCTGTGGCAAAAAGGTGACGCCACCGACAAGCACATAAATTTTATTCCGACTGTACTGTAAATTTTATTCCGATTTTATTGCATTTAAGGTATCGTAACATCCGTCTTTTATGTAGGAAGTGTTTAGTTTTTGTACGATGGATAAAACATCCAAATGCATGAAACGCCTATATGTTCATATGTATGTGTATCTAATAAATATTTGATTTCGTATATTGCTGGCGCTATAGTTATTTCATACAGTTTTGATATATGTATCAGACTTCCTTTTTTGTTCTAAAGNGATAAAACATCCAAATGCATGAAACGCCTATATGTTCATATGTATGTGTAGGTATCTAATAAATATTTGATTTCGTATATTGCTGGCGCTATAGTTATTTCATACAGTTTTGATATATGTATCAGACTTCCTTTTTTGTTCTAAAACCTTCTTTGGAAATTTGTTCATGCCGTTTTAATTGTTTTCTCAGTTGAAGCGTATGTATATTATTTTATAGTTAAAACAAAAACGTATAAGTATTATAAAGAGAACCCTATTGAAAGAAAGTTGACAGGTAAAAACAGTTTTGTTAAAAACCAATGATTAAAATACGTATGTATAAATAGTCCAAAATCCAACGATCAGTATACGCGCACAGCAGGCGGCACATGCTCTACGCTGCTGTCCAAAGGAGTGTCGATGACGGGGCGATATTTAATTCTTACTTCGCCAGTTTCACAGCAAATCCATGTTAGCGTGTGTTTTCGCCAATGTTTTTCAATTGGGCTCTTTTGCTGGGAATCTATGGGCTTGCTGTAGTCCTGTTACAAAGAGGTAAAATGATTAATTTCAGACGCATATGCATAGTTTTATTTTTTATTAATATACTCTTCATACATACATATTCATCAATACGCTGTTTAAAATCTTCACGCATATGAGAGCCACGCGATTCTTTGCGATTTTCAGCAGCCACCATGGTGCACATGGCATTCACAAGTAAATTTTGCAACTCTAATGTTTCGATGAGGTCCGAATTCCAAATTAAAGACCTATCAACCACGCGTATATTTTTAAATTCGTTATATATATTAATCATTTTTTGTACTCCCTCTTGAAGATTGGGTCCGATACGAAAAACACCAGCGTGGTGATGCATAGCTTTCTGCATTTGCAAACGTAATGATGCAGTGGTGATACTACCATTCGCATGAAGAAGTTTATCAATATTTGCTACAGATATTTCGCCAGCGTTCTGAAAAAATCAAGGGAATCCATAATTGACCAATCGAGTTAAGAGAATACCCGTACATCCTTCAAAGTTGGAGCTGGACAGCCGGGCACACAATTCTCTGCAATATGTAAAGCACAGGATCGCCCCCAAATCACCAGATCCAAAAGTGAATTTGCACCCAAACGATTTGCACCATGAACATTGCAGGAAACTTCACCGCACGCATATAATCCAGCAACCGGAATGTCGCATCCATTTGTATCGATAGTTAATACTTGTCCCCTATAGTTTGTTGGTATTCCGCCCATATTGTAATGCGCAGTTGGTATAACCGGTATTGGTTCCTTTGTCACATCTATGCCCGTGAAAATCCGAACGGTTTCTACAATACCCGGCAATCGTGTAAGGATTTTCTCACTCGGCAAATGGTGTAACTGTAAAAGAATATGGTCTTTTTCAGGTCCCACACCTCGACCTTCCATAATTTCCATGGTCATTGAACGGGCAACCATATCACGCGGTGCTAAATCTTTTGCTTTCGGTGCATACTTTTCCATGAACCGTTCACCCTTCGAGTTCACCAAGTATCCACCTTCACCCCTACAACCTTCTGTAACAAGTACACCAGGACCATACATACCAGTCGGATGAAATTGAACGAATTCCATATCTTGCAGTGGTAAACCTTGTCGTGCGACCATTGCATTGCCATCCCCCGTGCTGGTGTGTGCGGAAGTGCATGAAAAAAAGGTGCGTCCGTAGCCACCGGTAGCAATTATGGTGTTAAGCGCGCGAAAACGGTGTAAAGTCCCATCCTCCAAACAAATTGCCATAACACCACAACATGCTAAGTTCTCAAATATAAGGTCCAATACAAAGAACTCTATGAAATAGTGAATATCGTACGCAAGGGATTGACCATAAAGCGTATGCAGAAGGGCGTGTCCAATGCGATCGGCGCATGCACATGCACGTCGAGCCATTCCCTTGCCATAATTCACAGTATGTCCACCAAATGGTCGCTGATATATCTTCCCGTCTGGCGTACGTGAAAAAGGCAATCCATAATTTTCAAGCTCTAAAATGGCACGTGGTGCCTCGCGTGTCATATAATGGGCTGCATCCTGATCGCCCAACCAATCTGATCCCTTGACTGTATCGTAAAAATGAAATCGCCAATCGTCAAGACCTTGATTGCCTAGCGCCGCATTTACCCCACCCTGCGCGGCGATGGTGTGCGAACGTGTTGGAAAGATTTTAGTAACAACTGCTGTTTTGAAACCCAATTCCAATAAGCCGAATGCAGCTCGTAATGCGGCACCGCCGGCTCCAACAATAACTACATCAAATGCATGATCTACAACGGGATATGTTTTTGAAATTCCTTCACAGACTTTGGCTTCGGAGTGTGGTTTGTTAGTACAACTGATTGAACGGAAACTATAATGTGTTGTAGATAAGGATGTCCACTAAAATTGTTAACGCGAATTATTAATATTAATATTATTTTCATAGAAAAGCTTTATATAATAACGGCACGGCTTTGTACTTACTATTCTTTTGGGGCGTTTTGTTAAAGATAATGGCAAAATCTTAAATAAACTCATATTTTCAAGTGGAAATATAAATTAAATTACACTCCGAATGTGCGTANACTGATTGAACGGAAACTATAATGTGTTGTAGATAAGGATGTCCACTAAAATTGTTAACGCGAATTATTAATATTAATATTATTTTCATAGAAAAGCTTTATATAATAACGGCACGGCTTTGTACTTACTATTCTTTTGGGGCGTTTTGTTAAAGATAATGGCAAAATCTTAAATAAACTCATATTTTCAAGTGTAAATATAAATTAAATTACACTCCGAATGTGCGTATTTTTTTTTGTATGGCTTTTCAAATTTGCTAGTTTTTGAAGTTTTAAAATAAACTATTTCGATGTTTATTTCATAATTTTGATGTGAAATTGGAAGGTTGTAGTTCCTGTTTGATAAATTACTTCCGTTAAAAATGCAGGGCGGCTTATATTCGTAAAGTTTCACAATAGATGAAAGCATGCTTTAAAATAAAACAGGGAATTTTTGCCTTGATCAAAGAACACTACCTATATTTTTTACGATTTGTTACTATCTAGAAAATCATAAGTATGTGCCAGATTCTTGTTTCATTATATTTATCATTTATTGCCAACAGATTTCTGAAATCGTGAGTTGGTGCACCCAGTGTTGACAAAAANCCGTTAAAAATGCAGGGCGGCTTATATTCGTAAAGTTTCACAATAGATGAAAGCATGCTTTAAAATAAAACAGGTAATTTTTGCCTTGATCAAAGAACACTACCTATATTTTTTACGATTTGTTACTATCTAGAAAATCATAAGTATGTGCCAGATTCTTGTTTTATTATATNATTATATTTATATTTTATTGCCAACAGATTTCTGAAATCGTGAGTTGGTGCACCCAGTGTTGACAAAAAATTTATATTCCCATGTGTTTCCCTGTACCAACAGCTTTGTGTTTGCAATCAGCCTCAAAATGCAAAAAAAAAATTAAAATATATGCGTGTAACTTTCTATTTTTATAATTTTTCGTTCATTATTATTCCATTTTTATTGACATTGCATCCTTTTATTAATTTATTCATTTGTAAAGTAAAAAGTGACACTCTGTGTCGTATGGCAACACCAATTTCGCAATTGTTTTTGTTTTCCNATCCCCATAAAGGACTTCACCACAGTTTTTTTACTGGATATACTGAGGCGAGAAGTTTCATTGAGTTGACTAGTAAATAACTTAGANCCAGTGTTGACAAAAAATTTATATTCCCATGTGTTTCCCTGTACCAACAGCTTTGTGTTTGCAATGCAGCCCCAAAATGCAAAAAAAAAAGGAAACTATATGCGTGTAACTTTTTATTTTTATAATTTTTCGTTCATTATTATTCCATTTTTATTGACATTGCATCCTTTTTTAATTTATTCATTTGTAAAGTAAAAAGTGGCACTCTGTGTCGTATGGCAACACCAATTTCGCAATTGTTTTTGTTTTCCCCATTGGAGCAGCTTCTTCCCTTCAGTTAGTCGGTGCGAGCGCGAGAAGTTTCATTGAGTTGACAAGTAAATAACTTAGGGCGAGTTTAAATAGTTAAAATTGGATAAAATATATTTGGAAAACAATTAACAACCAATTCGTTTATTTTCGAAATAGGCGCAGTGAAACACGAAAATATTATTGCTTCAAAGAAAACCACTGAGACCTGCTACATCCCATTAAAATGGCGAGCATGATGCGTGTACCATCGATTTTGGCCAAGAATGCAGCGACCATGGTAGGTAAATTGCAGCGTCGGAATGGCTTGTGGATTAATTAAACAAAAGTAGTGTCATGCAATGGCGATAGAAGTGAATTTTTTTTTGGTAATAACTTTAGTAGGTATAAGATTTGCGTGATTTTCTGAGAATACTTCTATATTCACGGCGTTACACAATCATCATTTTTCGCAAAGTTCAGTCATTGCGGGTGGCGAGTGTTTGGTGATGGGTATGTGATATATTTTAGGAGGGTTTGGGCGCAAGACNCGGCGTTACACAATCATCATTTTTCGCAAAGTTCAGTCATTGCGGGTGGCAAGTGTTTGGTGATGGGTATGTGATATATTTTAGGAGGGTTTGGGCGCAAGATATGCAATGCATAATACAATCAATTGTTGCATTCGCATCCGAATTGTGAAATTCGTTTATATTACGTTAATTGTGGCAAACAAATTTGGCTGCATTACGCCAAGTAGGGCCCATCTAACCCATGGAAAATACCACCACGATAGCACCAAAGACCGCATATACCTATTCGCAAGTTTTTTTATATACCAAAGAATGCGGAGTGGAGTGAGCGGTGTTGACGGCAACAGCAACGTAGCGACAGTGACCAACGTACGAAAAACCAGACGGTGTCAGAAGTTTGTTATGTAACCTTTTTTATGCGCAATTATTTAACTTTGCTTTCAATAAATTTATATTTTATGTGTTATTTTTAAAATAGCAAATGAAAAATAATACGGCGAGCTGAATTCATCGGTTTTTTGCTGTTTGTGGAAGCATTTTATATGTAAGTCATATGCATGGCGGCTATGACGCAAAGCTTTGAGCACAATTAATATTTTGATAAACTTTTACATATCATCGTTTAAAGTACAAAACCGCGTATCAAGATAATGAGGTTGCATAAATTAATTTGTAGAGAGTAAAAACACTCACATTTCTTTTATAAGGCCATCGCATTTTTTGGCTAGTATATTTCAGGACGAATGGATAAGGTTGAGCCAAGAGCTTCGGTGAGCAAATCAAATTTTTGGCAAAAAATGTCAGTTACGCGGTTTTGCAGAACGACGATACGCGGTTTTGTACTTCAAACGACGATATGTAGGTGCATCAAGCAGAAATGCCGATAGGCATCTAGGTATGTGCGCAGGAATTTGGCTATTTATATTTATATTTTGCATTAAATATATGTATGTGCATATATTTACTTACATACATATGTCCATACATACATACATATATATCGTCGTTTAAAGTGCAAAACTGCTTTTCTTCGTTTTGCAAAACGGCGTAACTGACATTTGTGCCAAAAACTGTATTTTCTTATAGGAACCTCCAGGCTTAAAGCCTTATCTATTCATACCAAAATATCAATATTAGACTAAGTACTGCAAAATAACAGCACAGTTGCAATACCGCAGGCCAAGAGTAGCATATATTTTTACTGTCTGCTGTAAAATCTTGGTGACCTTACATACGCGGGTTTGCATTATCGTGATAAGTAGTTTTGTACTTTAAACGACGTTATGCATATATCTTATAATTTTTCGTAATTATCTGAAGTGCCTATGGGCGTGTGTTCATAATTGAGCCGACGGTGTTTCCTTTATCTCAAAGAAATTTAATCACCAGTAAGATATATGGACTCCTTAGCTCATTTCTTTTTATTTGACTCGCCCACAAAGCGATATACATATGCGAAAATAAATTTCAAAAACTTAATTTTTACAAAATACGACAGTGCCATGACCTTTGTTATGTGGGCAAAATCGCTAGGAGGGCTCGTTTATTTACTCCTCGCACCGCGTTCCAATACGTTGCTGCTTCTACATATGTATGTAGATGTGTGGGTATGCACACATTTTGTTTTGATAACTACCACTTAGGGCGCAATTATAGAAGATAATTGTTATTTTCGTTGATTAAGATGTGACCAAATCTTTCTCAAGCGTTAGACAATCTAGAACTTTACGTCGAAGACCACAAAATAGTCGCTACGCTATATTAAGACGCTCTGTGATACTCGCGCTGTTTCTTATCTTATTCCTGGTTCTTTCTTGTTGTTGTTTGTTTGTTGTTTTTGTTGTAGCAGTATACAAGCTCCCCAAAGAGTTTTTGGGGAGTGTTGCTGAAGTGACAGTCCTTGGCCAAATATAATATCTGGGTCGTTCCGGTAACGTAGACCCGACTATCATGGGAACGTGGTTCTTTCTTGTTGTTGTTGTAGCAGCATACAAATTCCCCAAAGACTTTTTGGGGAGTGTTGCTGGAGTGACAGTCCTTGGCCAGATATAAATCTGGGTCGTTCCGGTTACGTAGACCCGACTGTCGTGGGAACGCGTGGTTCTTTCTCGTCACGCTCGCTTATATGTATGATTTTCAAATTTAATTTTGAACCTGTGAATTCCTCATTACTTAAGTAACTAAGCATGCACGATTAAATCTTCTAATCTCTATGCGATGACAAATTATTCGTGGAAGATTTTATATTTTTATTTATTGTTTTTCCATTATGTAATTTTCAAATGCAATAGCGGGAGACATACATATGTATCAATGTTACACATATGTACAAACTTTTGTATGAAAATACATAATTGCCCTGTTGTACGAATAGTTGGCAGCTAGACGCCGGTGGCTCTTAAATACATACATAATAATATGTAATTGCAATCAATACCTCACACATTAATTTTATATGCCTCTATTAACAAATGCTTGGCTTGCGGTTTGTAAGCAATTAATTAAAACCGCGATGCGTCACTTAATAGACAACCCCATAAAACAAACAAATCGTTTTAAAATGTCTTGCTTAAAGTCACGGATACTTTCGGTGTATGAGAAATGTATGTGTACATACCTATGTATACCTAGTAGAAAATTACAGAAGCTAAAAGCCCTTCCAAAAGTCCTTCGTGAGAGTCATTTCTTTCTCCTTTCTTTTTTGTATGGAGGGGCNTATACCTAGTAGAAAATTACAGAAGCTAAAAGCCCTTCCAAAAGTCCTTCATGAGAGTCATTTCTCCTTTCTTTTTTGTATGGAGGGGCACAAATTGAGAGCCTTCTGCTTTCGCTACTCATATCAAGGCTTTCTGAAGAGCTTTTGTAGGGCGCATTTCAGAAGGCCTTTTGGAGCAGTTCTTATAAAGCTGCTCCCTTAATTCAGCAGCTGCACTTGCAATTTTTACTGGATTTACACTGCTGATGGCATGATGCTTAATGCAATTCACATTACCAAATTGTTTGTGGTGCTTTTAAAGTTGCAATTGACAAAATAAACCTATTTA